GGAAATAGGATTTTAATATCAATTCTTTGACCATCAGTAAAACTGAAATCTTGGTTTGCTTACTGGCCATTTGAATTTCTTAGCTGTGAAGACCAAGCTGTTCACAGCCGCCGTCCACTCCCCCGGCCCAGGCGCTTCAGCGCACATCAGAACGAAGCGCGATCCACAGCGGGGCTGCGAGAGAAAAGCAAGGACCAGAAGGAACCAGAATTTCAGCGAAACGCAGGTTGTAAGCTGAAGAGGGCGCTGCTGAAGGGCACCCAGGCAAAAGTGGGAAGAAAATTCCATTAAAAAGGGCACGTTCTGCCTCTCGTGCCCGGTCCAAAGGCCGTGGACTCGCCTCCAGAAGGGAAACGGTCTTTGTACTGGGGACACCAGTCACTGTGGAGGGCAGGGAGCCACTGTGAAGACTCGGCAGTCCCTCCAGCTACTTCTGAGATTGCAGCCTTCTCCCTCCCTTGGCTCCCTGAACACACGGCCAGGCAAGAAGAGACTAGAAGACATGTTCCTGGATAATCTGAAGAGATCCAAAGACACTGACAGGGGATTGTAAGGAAACGGCCCTGCCAGACGCCTGCACCGTGAATGCCACAGCTGACAAGCTGGACCACAGGCTCAGCGGCCCTCTGACAATTGAGCAGGTATAAAAACATCACCACAGAGCCCAGAAAAGTTTCTGATATAAAAGGCAAAACCCGAAAACAAACAAAAACCAGCCTGAAGCAAACAGACTTCAGGAAAAGAAAATTTTACAACTCACTAATGTCCTCACATAAAAGGAAGTACTACATCTATGAAACAAAAACAGGAGGTTATAAAACAGGGAGAGAACAAGAAAAAGCTCTTCAAAAGAAAATGAAAAGCCCAACAGAAGGGCTAGAAGATGAAATGGAGAATGTCTCCGAGAGAGAAAACGGAAGCCCTAAGAAAGCCAGAGTGCTAAGCCAGAAGGTTCGATAGTTTAATTCTAGAGAGAAAAAGTGAATAGGAAGAAAGCAAAGCAATAAATCAAGAAAAATGCCCAGCATTGAAAAATGAGAATTTCCAAATAAAGGAGCCCAAAGTGTGGGTAAGACATCAGATAAAAACAAACTCAGAGGACATCACCGTACTGGGTGTTCTGAATTTCACAGAAAATCCTCCAAGTTTCAAAGGCGAAAACACAGTCACATAAAAAGCCTTCAACAATAACGCTGGGAGATGGGATGGGCAAAATGGTGCCCGAACTCTCACTCGGGTATGAGGGCAGAGCATAGCGCTTCTAGACACACGGGCTCTCACGGCTCTACCCCCGCATGCGTCTCTTCCTGGGACTTCCTTGAGGAAGTGCTCCATCAAAACGAGAGGGCAAAAAACATCGAGAGGGAAAAGCCATGAATTTCAGGAAACAGAGGACCCGAGGCAAAAGATGCGCCGAGAGCTCCAGGGAGATTCCATCCAGCAGGTCGGAGGCCTGGGAGAGATTTATTCAAGATGAGATTGAAAAACTTAATTTCATCAGATAAAATTAAGGACTAAATTTCTTGAAAAGAGATTGAGACAACTGGTGAATCTGGGGTCAAGTTTCGTGACAAATACACAGCAAACTAAGCAAACAAAAACCAAACAAGACTCCTAAAAACTTCACGCAACAGAAACTTATCCAAGAAAGGAAAAGTGCTTGGCACCATTGGCGTAGCTGTGAATGATACTATGTAGTCAGAATGCAAACACCTAACAGACTGAACTGACCAAATGAAAGGCACCTGCTTTGGGCAGCCAGCCAGGTATTTGCACAGAGAAGGCAGAGGGGTGAAAGCGAGCGAGCTCTTCGCAGAGTCCGTGACGAGACCGTGTGCAAAAGGGAGGGAAGAGCGATCCGTG